CCTTCGGAGCTCCGCCACAGCCGAAGAAACGATTAAATGAAGAAACCACCCACATTGCCACTAGACACTCAACGTGCGTCTTTGTAGTTGTTGTGAGTGATCATGAGCATAAAGACTGTGCATACCGTCGGAAACTGCACTAATCTGGACTAATAACTCTTACCAAACCAATCGACTTCTTTGGTTGGCGGTGAAAACAAATTTTTACTACGGCCATACAGCTTCCATGATGTGAGAAAGACGATACAGCTCTGGTAATCTGGGTAGGTTATTATTATTTCACTATGATCCACGAAAACTCGATCCCATTGTAACCTCTTTTTGTCACCTGTTAATGAAATTCCAGCATATCTGTTTGTCATATGTTTGTCTGTTCGATGCCCTTCGTTGTGAAGCGTGAAAATAGGCAACGTTGAAGACAATATCATACGCATGAGTTTTCAAATTTCGGTATCGAATGATAAAATACTGCCAAGCCTTTCGAAAACTATTGTTAAATTGTATTTTTAGAAAATCAGGCTGCTTGACTACGTCACGAGTTATTCACGTGACTCATTTCACTACACTTTAGCGTTGATTAGGCAAACGTACGATGTGGGGTGATATCACGGCTGATAAATTCCACTAATTATATTTAGCAACCCGAGAAACAGAGCGTTCATTTTTTATCTCCATCTGCGCTCATGAATGCTACATTAAATTTATTTTGATCATCATTCTTCAAGTACGAAAATTTTAGGGCCTTCTACTGTCTGCCTAACTCGCTGCCGGGTATGACTCCAGAACTACCTGATACTCAAGCTTATAAGGCAAGTACCATTTAACTCTCCTGCTTTGAACTTTGATTATAACTTAAGTTACTTTATGTAGCAAAATACAGATTTTCTTGTATGGGTGCTCACCTACCAAAGTTATTAATTATTTTCTAAGGTTATTTCACACCTGTTTCAGTTATTTGAATCACAAAATGCCCTAAAAAAAGATTCTTTCAGGTATGCACGGTTACACAACCTTTGTTGCATCACGAAGAGCCAAAACTCACTGAATACGTGTTTAGAGTTTTCTTGATCTGTCAAATCGCTACGGTTGTTGTCAGTGACTACATCATTGCTGATTTGGCATCTGACGCGAAATGAAGACAACCGTCTGGCGTTTAAGACAACTGAACGGAGGAGACAAGACAACAAAGAACAGTCTTCTGTCGTTAAACACGGACAATACGTCAAGTCTCTGGCTCGATTTCCAGAACGTTGAAGACCATAAAAGTACATCTTCTAAAAGTAGAAGAAAACATCATGCCGGCGGCTGAATGGTATACTGTACAAGTAACTAGACATCAAGGCAACTTACACGCTAGACAGCCAGTAGTCCCTTTACAGGCTGTCGATTGTAGGATTGACAAGACTACAAAGGGTAAACTAGCCGAGGTGGGAACTGAAGAGAGGCTCTTTTGACTCGTAAGTGTCGTTAAAAGTGGGGTCATTGCGCTTGCACCAACAATCTCCTTTAATAGAGGAGCTCCACGAGCGCACGAAGCGCGTGCGAGAGGAGCCCCAAACCTAAGAGATCCATCCACCCGAGAAATTTTGGTAATCACATGACCGCACGTCCGCACCACAGGCATACCAATGTAAAATAACTCATTTAACAGGTATGACACCACACGCAACTCGAGGTGTTTTTGGTGGGAAAATATTTTAGATGTTATTTTAGATGTCTGCACTCATGTGGATAACAAAGAAAGAGCTAGAGCGAGTGATTAAAAACAAAGCAGACGAATTTCAAAACCTGAAAATTTCATAGCAGTGTTGAGAAAATGAGAAATGCTAGCGGCCAGCAAGGAGCGGCCAGCAAGGTGAACTGAGCGGCAGTGAAAAAAAATAAAAGCGAACAGGAACACAAGCAACAAAATTTTTGGTGAGCGGATACGAGAATTCCTCGTAAAAAATAATGTGTAACTAGGAAGTTTCACGTGTTGGTCGCTCAAAATGCCCTTGTAGTAGTGCAAAACAACGGCAAAGATATGTACAACTGTGATGCAGGTGCAAATTTGTTTGTTTTTTTGTTTTTGCTAATTGGGAACTATTGATTTTGCTGCTGTTCTCATTGCCGTCGCCGTTTAGCAGTACACGATTTTATTTTTTTGTTTATAGGTATCTAGTTAACGAGCTCCCCTTTTAGCCCCGGCTAATCTATATATTATCTTTGAGACATGTTTAATGTCTTAGCATGTTTGTTTGTTTATCTTCAGCGTTTTCCAGGTACGCACATGCATACTGGAGCACATTACAGTTTGATACGCCCCGGTGATATTTCCTAGCATGCCACACAATATCTCATCAACCCGCCAAGTGCCTGAAAGTCACTGGCTCGAAGTAACTGCACGGGTCGTATGGCCTCTCCTGAGATTTTTCTCAGGCCTAATTCATTCGACCTCTTGCTCCATATTTGGACAGGTCACTTGAGACACTGCCGACTTTAACTGGCATTTTTGGATCAGCATCTTCCAATTTCGTGGAGTCTGTTGGATTCGAGGAAGCGTTATTGGTGTCAATATCTTGGATCAGAGTCCTGTTTCAAAGAGCCTGGTGTGCTTATTTACCGTTGGAGAAGAAAGTCGTGATGGAAAGCGAGAGATGGCAGCTGAGATTTCACAGCCAGTGACGCTTACCTCTATTTTTTTCTTGTACAGGGTTGTCACGCAACGCTCCTCCCCAGGAGCGTTGCGTGGCGACTACAAAAACCGGCTGCGAACGACACTACAACCCTGGTCAAAACTCTTGGGACACTAACGCAACAGCTCGTCAAATTGAGGTATCTTCCCTCCCCCTTTCCCTCCCGGTGCAGTGTTGACGTTATGCATTCAAGTTTTAATTCAACACAATCAGCACTGCTTGGGGGAGAGGGGGACAGCAGAAATAGCCCCTTATAACAACATCCACAAGCTTTTTAAGAGGTAGAATATGAGTTAATTTTGCAAGGTACGTCTTTGTGCCTAATTTTCCAAGTGTTCCAAGACGTTTGGGGTTGCAGATATTGGATCGATTTCCTGAAACTCCGTTTGAGCATTAGGCACAACAACAAGTAACTGCAAGGTAAGTTTCGTTGACTTTTCAGTTATGGTTTTGTCCAGCACTTTTGGATCGAAGCTTCATCCCTTAAAAACACTTTATACTTTGCGGTATTGTAATACTAATGCTACACCAGGTTAACAATGCAAGTCGGTGACCGCTGAGTCCTTTTTGATTTGCGCCCGACGTAGGAGCTCCCAAGTAAAGCGAGACAAAAACTACATGAGACGTGCGGAGGGTGAGCCGCTACAACTGTAGGTCTGGATTCAATTATATGAGAGAAAGGTCGTGGGAGGAGGGGTAGTAAAATCTTTCTCATTGAACGTGATTGTTTCTCACAAACTCCCATTTGAAGGGGATAAAGATTTGTGAGGAATTAACAGTTGTGATTCCCTACCACACCTTCTTGATGACCTTGTGTGAGGTTTCGCTGTTGCACATAAAGTTCCTGCACTGAACTGCATCGAGTAATCTAATTATCTTCCTTAGGCTCGTAAAGGAGATTATATATGCAAATGCAGGCTCGTGATCAGTAACAAATAAAGAAGTCTTTAATGTGAACGTAGTGGCCTTGCAGTGGCCCTCTACCCTTAGATGTAAAATGCGTTCGAGTAATTGAATTGTTTTCTCTTCAATCTTATGACGATGGTCTTTTGATGAGGAGGACGCAATTCCGCCATTTTTGCTTGACAATTTGTTTTTATCAACACATTCACCATGTCCTTACATGTGAAATGCTAACCCGGCCGATTATAGCATATCAGGCCTTTCTTCCCATTGATGCGAAACAAGTGCCGTCGCGGGTATCACACAGTTACTACAGTTGATCCATTCTGGATCCACTGCGATTAAATACTCGGTTGTTTCTAGGGTGATTTCGGTTACCCACGTAATCAACCAATCAGCTGAATCGAAGCGGGGAAAATAAAACTGTCTCAAGACCGATGTGGTGTGATGTATGTGGTATGACTGATGACGTGGCACACAAACGAACGATTCTTAGTGAAATTGTTTTTCAAGGCGTGATGAATTCGTCTTTCCTGGGGAAAATACCACAGATACTGAAGCAGAAGTGAAATTGTCTTTAAGATACAGGAGGGTATAAACTGAGGCAGCCAAAATGGGTATATAATGCGTGATCATGCTCTAGATTGGAAGGAATCGAGAAGAATTGTCCTGTTATTTGGTCTTTTAAAATACATTGTTCTGTTTAACAATTATTCCACGAGTGCGATTTGGATATGAGATGGCAGATAGCCAACGAGGCACTGAGCGCCGAATTGGCTATAATAATCTCATATCCAACAAGCGCGAGTGGAATAATTGTTTTATTTAAAACGCCCACAAAATATCGAGAATTCTTCCCGAAAAAACTGATTTTCAGCTTGTTTTCAATTTTGAGCAGACGCGTACCGTTACCACATTGGAGAGCATGGTGTAATGGCTCATATACCATGATAGCTAAGCCAATCAGAGCTCTAGAATTGCATTATCCAAAGATTCAGTTTTTAATAATTAACGTTATCTGGCCCTGCTCGGCAGATTAGCGGAGTTTCTTGGTCAGGTTGTGGATGGTGCGATTACCAAAATAACGCAATAACAGCAGCTGAGGGCGGAACTGGACTAGGCTGTAACACAACAACTAATCAGTCTGTTTGACAGTCATTGGTCCCAAAATTATGTGCTTAATCGAGCATGATGTCTAGTATTAGCAAAAATTAATTTGTGGTAATAAAAAGCAACCTAACATAACGAAGTAAACAGATTAGTGACCGCACGACATCGCAAAGGACGTCCACTATTCGGTTCACTATGGCGTTGGTCTGCAACAGGTGAAACACGTTACACTAAATTGAGATTTAAAAACGTCCGGGAGAGCCCTATTTTCAGCCAACTGAGGATTTGTGTTTCTTCCTTTTTTTCCCTTGCAGTAAGAAGTCTTTATCCCCAAGTAGAAACATTGCTGTATCCGTTGACTCGTTACCAGAACGCTGCCGACATTTTGACTTCGAGCAGTGTCTTCGATATCTTGAGTCTCAAAACACCGCAAAACAATTGTTATATCAAGCTGCATCGAGATACAAGAAGTTTACCACATGCGGACCTGATTCATTCCTTCTCCACTTCCAGAAATCCCTGCGAAAGTACAATGTTGGCAAAGTACTGAACTACCTTCGAAGTTTTGAGATACTCGATGAGGCGGACTGCGAGCAAATCTCCAGCGAAACCACATCAGACATGATGGTCACGGAGCTCGTCACGGTGATCTCCAAAAAAGAACCACACGCATTCTGGTACTTAACTCATTCGCTGAAGAAGACAAGTGGATTGTTTCAGTACTTTCACGGTAGTTTGCACTGTTGCGGTAAGTGCTGTAAGATATTGACTTACTTTCCTTTGCTTATAGTCAAGAGTTATAGTAACACCAAGTAAACAACGATAAAATCCAGCGAAAGTGTGTGTATCAATGGAAATCTCTAAGAGAGGTCTGTTCTCATGAGACGTCTTTTGGTAGGAACGGACATGAATGAAGTTAATAAAAAACTTGAAACAACTTAACAGTAAGAGTCAATCAGTGAGGAAAATCTATGGATTGTGGTTTGCTTACACCTTTGAGAATATTGTGTCTCCTGTCATTAAATCTCGAGTTGTTCCAGTAGTCATGTAGGGGCCATTTTGTGCACTACCAAACGTATCTAGCTGCTTCATAATTCTAATTTAGCTTACAGGAAATCGTGCATGGGGGAAACGTATAAGCATTCATAACTGATAAGAACAACTGGACCGATAAACTAAAAGGTACCAAGTATTTAAGGTAGGAATTAAGTGTCCGCATGGTCTACTCAGTGAATTTCAGTCAGCCATTTATTTATCCTTTTCGCTGAATTACGCTTGAACCTGGTTGCCTGTAAGCTTGTTGCCGTTGACTGAGACGCATGAACCCAGTCAAAGGGGCCGGGCTAAATAGTTGGTAAGCAAAAAATCAACGGAGGTAATTCATTTCTTTACGCTTATGAGCTGGGAACTGTAGTATTGATCACTGACGCTTAGTAATTCTTGTCTTGAAACGTAGTTTGCAATGAAGTGCAAGAAAAGGAAAAGGAAATTGCTGCAATCCATGAAGGTAATGTCATTGGATAAAAGAGTGACTTAATACTATGCATGTCTTGCAATTTTTTACAGATGACTTAACGTTCTAAATTTAAATGTCACCTTTGGCTTTGATGCTATGGCAACCAAAAAACGGGAAGTCAAACAAAGTTGTTTTGTCTGGCTTAACTAGTTTACCGATAAATACTAGATACCTATTTAAAGTCTTAGACTTTTAAGTCTTTAATTATTTAGTATTTACCGGTACGTCACTTGATTTGATCTCAATTAATTGTCATCTGAAAAACATTCCTTTAAAAGAAACAGTACCATGATGTATCCCCTGAAGAACAGCGCAAATCCCGTTAGTTACCCCTGCACTATGGTACAAGGGGTACGGTGGCTAGGTCCCCTTTTGAGTTTTTTCTCTCTTTTCATTATTTTTATTTTTCATTTGTTTTTCTGATGGCCATTGACAATTTTTTTTCATGGCATTTGTATAGAGGTGGTCTTTAGCAGAGGTTCAAACTAGAAAATAATTTTCCAGATTCTAATGCGCCTTTACTTTTCAGGTATTGAAAGGATCTTTACGTTTTCAGTGGCTACAATGGTAGATAACTTAAAGTTGACAGGGCTCCTACCAATTGCTACGGAAGGAAAGTTTGGAAAAGACCTGAAAAAGAAGTTAAAAGAGCGTTCTAAGAAATTCGTGGTGGTATTTAACGGTAAGTCTACAACTTTATGAGGGTCTCGCCACAGAGGCGGATCCAGACCTTCAGATAAAGAGGGGGGGCGGTCATCCAGACCCTGAGATAAGGGGGGAGGGGCCTCAAAAAAATTTTTTTGGCCCTTCGGGCCTCAGTTTACTCTAACAATAAGGGGGGGGGGGGCCCCCTGGGCCCCTCCTCTGGATCCGCCACTGCACAGTAGGGTTCTCCAATCCCGTGATCCCGACCTAAATTTCGTTCCATCCGGATTACTATTTTTGGCATCCCATCTCCCACGCATTCTTCCAATCCAGAATCTTGCCCGATTTTGCCTCAGAATGACAGTAACGATTGTTATGTGAACAAAATTTATGATGAATCCGCGCGCATCCACTCTGATTGGTAATTTCTGTGCTTTGTCTCGAAAGTAAAATTTAATCATGCAGGAGACCAGTGTCTTTTAACACTGAAAGATTGTCTCTACTTCTCTTTGTTGCTGCTTCTCAAAAGAACACAGGCAGACCAAGCTTTAAGGGCCATACGTCGGGAAGTCAACGCCCTTATGCTCAAGTCCCCTTTTAGTCCTAATCATCAATTACATAAGAATAACGTTGGCAATTTGCAACAGATTAATCGGCAATAGACCTCTTTAGCTTGACGTTTCGTTTTTCCAATGCTTCAGGTAGTTCACGTGTTGATGCTCTCTTCGTTTGAGTCCCCTAGCCTTTCCTAATGTCAGAGAATTGTTTTGACAAATTTCTTCTTGTTTACTTGCATTGCGTTATGCACGTATAATTCATGATAATACAAAGGGCGAATTTCCTTGAGAACGCTACATGAACTTCATTAGGAAAACGAAAGATTCAAGCTAAAAAGGTTTATTGTGGTTGCATGAGGATAATATTACTTGATATTGCTGATTATTGCAGATATTCGCCAAGCGGTGGTGCCACCTATGAGGGAATTGAAAAGAGCTTTGACAACCATTGTTAGTAATGCTGTTGAAGGCAGTGATTTATTGCCTGACAAAAAGATGTTGGAAGCCAGTAACAGTGAGAGACAGACTGGGTTACCAGGTACAAGCCGCAATCTGTAAAAATTAGACAGAGCTATCTTCATTAAGGCGTCATTTTAGAGAGGGAAAGAGAAAGAAATGAAAAGCATAGTGATCCCGCTGAGGTTATTTAAGGGTATTGAGTTGGGGGGGTTGGGGGAGGTTCGTGTGAGAGCTCATAATCTGTACCCTAAATCTGTACCCTATTTACGTTCAGTATAGCCTGTGTGCCGGTTTTAGGGCGAAAGGAGAAGTATTGAGGATGGGTCAAGAAATGCCTCATCTCTCCTTCGTGTGTAACCCTCGCAAGATCTGTTAATAAAATAATAATAATAATAATAATAATAATAAAAACTTAACGAAAAAACTAACCGGAAGGGGGAGCATGACGCAGACCCGCGGCCCTGAAAGCTTTAGGAAATCGGTCAGTATTTATCTAAGGTCCGCTTCTGCAACGACTACCACGCAGGCTAGTATTTGTAATACAGTTGATACTGTAAAGATAACGGGTTCTGGCGGCAGGTATCCTTTGTGTTGGCCGGACTGCAAAAGCAATGCAAGCGAGGCAGGAGGACACGCACAGCCAGCGCCGTAGTTTTAGTAGTTTTTGTTTCAAGTTGAGTTTGTTTGCTTGCGTTTTTCTCCGCCCAAATTTCCCATGCGCCCTCCTCGTTCGCACTTCGTACACTAACTTGGGAGAGCAGTCGCTCTGCCTTGCTCCTCGCCGCTGGGGACGTTTCGTTCCGTTCGTCCTCGCGAAACGTCCCCAGCGGCGAGAAGCGAGAAGGAGCGGCTGCTTTCGCAGGCTAGTAGTACACAGTTGGTGATTTTAATTCCAGGGTATGCAAACTGACAATGCCCACTATCCGCCCCCATTTAGACGATTTTCAGTAGCTAGAAGAGGAAAACTGTCTGCCACACTTCAAAAGTTTAAAAATCTTTCTATAGATCTTGAAAAAGCTCCCACTGACAACACAAACAGCTGGTCGCACGCAGATGGTCATCAAAGGCACCATTTTTTTTCTTTTGTTCTTTTTTTGATATAATGTACCATCATAAGTGTCTTTATTTATTTTAGAAGTGTCGATTGCTGTGAAGCTAGACGATTCACCAGTGGAAAAAAACACCAATCGTGCATGTCAAGATGAAGAAAGTGGACAAGAGATATCGTCCAAGCCTGAAAAACCAAAATCAATCATACGTTCGGTACCGACGCTAGATATCGTCGAAGGGAAGAAAAAAATTATTGCGTTTATAATTTTTTGTTTCTTTACTTTGTATACTTATGTGGATTCGATCGTAAAGATAATTCCAGTTTAGTTTTTCGCGGTTGAGAAACTGGCAGTGTTTACATGCAGGAAATGTATGTAATCATGGCAGTAGGTCAAGTGAAAAGCCTATATGGCTCTTGCCTAGATAAGTTTTAACAGTAGCTCACATCTTCGTGAAAAATCATTTTTTAAGGGAAGGTACGTTTTTTCTTGGGGGGGGGAGGGCTGAAGAATTTTGATATTTTTTCCAAAAGAAAGTGTTGGCCCTCCCTCACGTTTTGATTAAAAAACTCCTGACCCCCCACTTTTAGGTGACTGACAAAAGTGTGACCCTCCCCTCACTACCACATGCAAGCTCAATGCTTGCATAGGAGATGCTCTATGTGATGGAGGAAGCCTCAAGTGGCAGATCTACAAGCCGCTTCATGGTTTGTCGGTGGATGAGATTAGTTCTCTTACAAATTCAGAGCTTGAAACCTAGAGGAAAGCAAACATAGAAAAAAAATGCTTGGGCTGTAGCAGAAGAAGTAGTTCGTCGTGTTAATGATGCTCCGGCACCACGCGGATACATGTCGGCAATGATGGTGGATAAGCCAGAGGAAAAGATTTTCTATAACCGCGATTTTATGAAGCAGTATCACGATGCTCCGAACAATAAGAAAAACACTGTTCCAGGTCATGGATATTTTGCTAAACTAGCTTCATTTGAAGAGGAGCACTGCGAGAAAGGGGAACTGTACATGGAGTACAGAAAAATGTCTTGTCAAGAGAAAAACGGCGAGCTATGCGAATACTGTCGAGCAACTGATTTTTTAAGTCCTACTTTCGCTACACCTACTCCACGACCCTATCCCGATTACAGCAAACTTCCTGACTTTCACTACCTACCAGGTACGAAAACACCAACGACTGGCCGCAAACCTGATGATTATCAGCCTAGAGCTCAAATAAAACAGATGTTCCAAGAGGGTACGCTCAAAGCCGGGGATAAAAATGCGATCAAAGATTTTTCTGAAAAATATATTGTTTCAGAAAAGCTAGTTGCAGACTATATTGATCATCTGACTGACATTGAACTAAGAAAAGATAAGCGGCGAACAGAGAATGACAGAAAGCGTACAGCAAGAAAGCAACAGGAATACAATGACATTGACTGGGAAGATCTTTATATTATCACAAAAACCAATTGTCAACCGTAAAAGTAGGTAAACTTGAACTGTATATTAATCATCACAATATTCTATTTAAAGGGAAGAAAGATGAGAAAGTGAGGGTTGTGAAGGCTCATATTGGCAGTAAGATTTTGACTTCAATTATGCAGGAAAAACAGACAAACATTCCTCTAGCCTCTGACTCAAATCCAGAGTTTGACAGTGACAGTGACAGCGACGGGGTAGAGGGCATTGTTGGATCTTCTAGTAACTCTTCAGAGCTTAGTGACTCAGGAGATCAGGCAGCGGATAGACAACAGCTGGAACAAGAAACCATACCTGAGTCAAGTACGTCACGATACGGACGGAAAAGGACACGAGTACTCCGAGAAAATTATGTGCCATGGAATAATATACATGTAGAAACCCAGTAACCTTGTAAAACTAGTACCTGCGCCGAAATAAAAGAAACAATTTGAAAAGAAAAAACTTAGTCTGTTAAAGAAAAATGGAAAATAACATCACAAAAATTCCCATTAAAAATTCTGGAAAAGTTGTGTGACCCTCCCCTTGAATAGCTGAAAAAGAGGGTATGGCCCTCCCCCTTTAGTGCTCACTTTCACTGATGACCCTCCCCTCTGAGGCCCCAGCCCCCCCCCCCCCCCCCCCAAAAAAAAACGTGCCTTCCCTAAAAAAAAAAAAGAAAAAGAAAAAAGAAATTTTAAAGGAAATAAAGGAAAACCAAAAACAGCACGCTCAAATATACGATACGTAAGTATAGTTGTTCTTGTTTAATGAAAATATTTACACCATATAGTCTTCATGTCAGTTTTTCGATAGGAAGTCATGTTAAAATGTATTGGGGAAAAGTTAAAACGGGATTATATCTTAGATAGTTAATTAAATCTATAAATCATTGCTATATGTTTTTCATTGAACTTGAAAGTAAGACTTGCATTTATTTAGAGTATTTACATTCTAGAAAGTGTAGTGGTGTAAGGCCTTTTATTTCACTGCATTTTCAGTGATTATGTATACTAATGACATTGTTTTCAGTGACTGGAAACTGAATATACTCGGTAATATTTACAACAAAATTGCTAATTACTATATTCTCCTACATAGAGGCAGATTTATACATTTATTGTTAACTATAATTAACTGATTTAGATTATCTGCATAATATCATGGGTGACGAGTTACTCCTTAATTTTGGCGCGAAATTTCAGCGATAATTTGTAATTTCACATGTGAAATTACAAAATTGCCATGGCAACCTTCTGTACGTCTCATTGTCAAAATTGCATAAATTGCATAAATTGCGTTCATTTCTTCATTTTCATTTCATTTCCGCAGTTCATATATGATTTATTTCATATATCATTAACACTCACTTCTTTCACGGGAACATATGAACCCTCAATTAACCTGCTCCCAACGTCAGTGGCTTCATTGCTCAGTTGGTAGAGCATCGCACCGGTATCGCGAGGTCACGGGTTCAAACCCCGTTGAAGTCCTGAATTTTTTTTTTCAGGCTTCTTACGCAATTGCATAACTTGCGTTCACTGCGACGATCATTTCTTCATTTTCATGAAGTTTTAAAGTGTCATGAATGAAGATGCCAGGGCATAAAAAGACGCTTTAGAAAACCTGAACACACGAAAGAGCACATCAAGAAGGATTCTAACAGGTATTTTGTCGAAAAATTCTGAACTTAAGCCAAATTTAAGCTCTAAACGTTTGAGAGAGTGGAGTTCTCGATCGATACGATCCAGCCGTAAACTTGTCAAAAATCCAAGATTGCTAACGCAATTCGTCACCTATGATATTAGTGGGTAGAAATGGTATACTCGTGAAATTATTCCTTAATTTCACTCGTCACCATTTGATTACACATACTTATTACTGAATATCTTACATCCCAATTATTATCCGTGAGCAAGTTAGCAAACGAACAACTCGGAAGCTAAACATCCCCCTTTTCAGAACAGCCTCCGGACAGAGAACTTTTTATTACAAGACTATTAAAACAAAATCCATCAGGAACTTGAGTTATTCTAATTTTCAGTCAGCACCAGAAAAATTTAAACAATATCGCATTCTTTTTTAAACTTTTTAAGGGCTGTAGATGATTAATTAGTTATCTAGCTGTAATAACACCAAAGACAATTTCTCATGGGAGCCTGAGAAAATAAATGTCATATTTCAAAAGATGTGAAAGCACAGATGAAATTCTGAAAATTACATGTGTATAAGATGTCATTTTGTGAAATTGGACATTTATTTTTTCCGGCTCCCATGATCGAAGAAATTTTCTTTGGTGTTATTACAGATTACTAATTACATCTATAGCCCTTGAAAGATGCGAAAGAGAATTCAGTATGCTTAAAGTTATTCTGGTACAAGGTTTTTGTCCACTGAAAATTAAAAACATCAATTTCCTGATGGATTCCGTCTTTGCTTTGGAACAATTATAGAACCTGGCCTTCTCTTAAATTAAGCCAATCTGTTCACATTTTCAAACGTCTCAAGGAACCAGCTTTTAGATAAGATTTTGTAAAAGGTTCTTAGTTAAGTTTAAAAGTATTGTAATTAGTAATTAGTTAGCATTGTAATTAGTACTATGTTGAGTGTTGTAATTAATTAACGTAATGCTCGTAAATAATGATTGTTCCTGAAAAGCCCCTTTGGCTGGGAGGAAACAATAAAGTATGTTTGTATGTATGTATGTAACTAAAGGGTACAGAAAGGTATTTCTTTGATAATAAAAGCCTACAATGCATGAACATTGCTCGACACCAGGTCATTCCATAGCCTGAGAAAACAGCGAACATTTCGCGACGACACCAGTGGTTTCCCGCCAAATGACGTCTGAGAAACGAGCGCAGAAATTCCATACTGATGACATGGACTTCGTAGGCTCCAGTTGCAGTCTATAGTTTCTTCTCATTGGATTTTAATTGGTCAAAAGAAACGCAACCACCATACCCCAGATTCTGTTAATCTCCCCCTTTCAAACAGACATACACCTTCCACCCACCCATGAGAGACGGGCACCCTAAGGTCGCGCAACAAGCCATGAAATCAGGGTGGGAAAGGGGGAGTACCTATCACTTACCACGCCGATCACGGAAAAATGAAATAACAAATTAACTACATTTTAACAAGTATCCTACATGTATTATCATTTGATCTGAGGAAACCAGAGGTCTAGAAACGAGAAAAAAGGGGGACGAATTTGGTGTCATACCTATCTATTTTCAATGTCTCTACTTCTTGTTTTAAATCATATTAACCACCACGGAAATTTCAAAGGAAAACCACGCGTCACGCTTTGTGAAAATAGTAAATCACGCATCACGCTGCTAGGTCAAATCACGTCTCACGCGGCTAAGTTGGGCGCGATCAACTCACGCTGAAAATTTGGGTCCCTTCACGCGTCACGGAAAACCTATACCACTGACCACTCTGTGAAATCAAGATGGAGAAATGGCCACGCGTGTTGTTCGTCCTTTCAGCAGTTTTTTTCCAGCTGTAGAAGGTGTCGTTGAAATAAAATTCCAGCTCCGGCAGGGAGGATAGAGCCATCAGTCACGATACTAAATGCGAGAGAAAAACGCACACTTTTGTGACTAGATCACGGGGGTTACTTGGTTTAATTTTTGCTGGGTACGTGCCGCTGGCCTCTCAGAACCCCTACCCCATTATAGTCTATTCTGTGGCCAAACATAGACTCCATCTAAGTCACTTTTAGGAAAATGTAATTTGCGCGATCCCAACTTATGACAACCAGTCCTGTGATAACTGAAATGAATAGACACATTGGTTAAACTTTAAAAAAAATGAAGTAAAAATCTTCCCATTTTTAAATCCCTACGTAAGTGATTTTTCTGATCCCCCAAATCCCAAAAATGTGCTATCCCGTTATAGCTACTGTAACTCTTTTGAAAATACAACCCCATTATAGTCAATCCAGCCGTGAAAATGCGACCCAGTCTAGCGGCACATCCCCAATAGCCTATTACTAGGAAGTACCCCCCCCGTTCCCACCCCCGGGGACTAGATCTGCTGGATCTGGAAACACGAAACACCAGGAAGTTGATTGACAAAGGAAACAATTATAATATCACAACAATCACTGACGAAAGACGATACTTTTAAATGCGGCAGTGGCCGAACATCAACTGGACATCTATTATTTCGATTTTACTAACCAAAGCAGTAGGATGACCAATTAGAAGAGCAAATCAACGAAGTAATGGTTCTCGATTCAAGGATTACTGAACTTGCTTCTCTCCAGATTGCGCTGCTGCTCAATTTGTAACAACATTGTGCTCATTTACAAGAGGCTGAAAGGTTATCTGGCCGCGCAAAGGTGATGTATAAACCTTCGTTTTCTTGCATATATTCTTGACTACATGATTTCCAATAGCGCAATTCCATAGAAATATTCTTTGAGGGAGCAACTTTGAGGCTTGGGTCATGAGTGAATTTTCGATTCAGTGTTATGAAAATGTGGCTTAATGCCTTATAGGTAGCCTGCGAACCGGAGATATATTTCCGGTCGTCGCTTCTCTCCCTCCGGATGAACTAGAAACTAAAGCCGAAAAAATCGGATGCTCCCGCAGGCTACTTTTCAGGGCGCTGGCATAAATGCAGTCAAAACGCCATTTAGTCTGCGCGGAAATCTGTTATGTTGCCATATATAGAAGCCTTATAGAGCAAATACGCCGTCATTTCGTTTTTTTAATATTACTCGAGAGAGTGTTACCTTTTTTAGGTTAACGATACAAGGTGAACGCCATTTTGATAAATTCAATGCCCGAATCTTATACGTGATCCCTTCTTCTCTACCGGCAGTCGATCGGTCATTGATCTCCCGAGACATCCCCCGGGACAATCCAAACCCTCAGAACAAACTCCTTTTGTGTATAGTTTCAATGGAACACCGACATAACAAAGTGGGACTGAAATAATCTAGTACCCCGTTCCGCCACCTTGGTTTCACATATACCGAGGGAAGGGCGTCGGGATTTTATATCGATGAGGGGGAGGCGGAGGGTAGCTAGATATATACTCTTGAAACCAAGATGGTCGCGATCTGAAAATGGGGGGACAAAAGTGGGGCGAAGAATCACCACGTCATATATATGGTTTCGTCATATCAGAGTTTCACTGATGACTTGCTGACGATCCGGCTTGTCCCGTTCCTCTTTGGAAGCGCCCGGGGGGGGATACTCCCTTATATAAGCCATATAGGTATTTGCCGCCCCATCGGGTATGGTTTTTGCGCCGATTTTTCCGATTTCGAAAACGAGTACACACTTTGCCCATTTTGGTCTGGAATCGGGTATGGTTTTTAAGGAACTATGGGAGTGTATGAACGTATTTGTCGTTTCAATTCCAAATGAGTTAAAGAAAGA